AGGTGCCGATATGACCTAATCATCACATAATCTGACAATTCTCACGCTGCCGAACCCACTTCAGCCACTCCCACCTTGCCGAACCTGTTTCCAGACGCTCTCACCTTGCCGAACCTGCTTGAGCCACTCTCTTGCCAAACTTGCTTCCAGCCGCGCTCACCTTGCCGAACCTGCTCCCAGCCTCTCTCACCTTACAGAACCTGCTTGAGCCGCTCTCACCTTGCCGAACCTGCTGGAGTCCTCAATGATATTAGACCACGTGGGCGGGCGAGAGGCCACAGCTGGGGTACAAATAAGAGGAGGGAGAATCAGACGAGTGAGAACAGAAAAACGAGTGAGAACTTAAAAAGGGGTAAGGGAGAAAGATTAAGACCGCTTTAGAACTTAAAAAGGAGTGAGCTCTGCAGAGCTCGAGTATCACTACAGAACGTCAAGAATCGCGAAATCATTCACACAAGCAATGAAAGACTGGCCCTGATGCTATTGAGGGCCTAACAACGGTTTCTGTTACAAGAAAGGAGTCGCAACTGACCTTCAAACGAGTGCCGGATTATATGTTGCTGCCTCTCTCCGCTCTGCAAGGTAAAGCACGAATCCAGTCACATGCTGGATCGAGATTTGACTATGAAAAATAAATAAAAAATTATGTTTGTGGCTCATGAAAACAGCACGACAACACGCTGATGATGGCGTTCGCGACAGCCCTACGACACTCGCGACGGGCTTACGATGTTCGCGTAGAACCGTGCAAAACGAGCCTTCCCTTGGTTGTTGATAATCAGCACGGCCTTTATCATGTCACCTCGCGATTGTGACGCTGAGAAAAGAACGAACGAAAAGGGCGATGCAAGTGTCTTCTGAGGATTCGCTTTCGAGAATCTCCTTTGAGAACTCTCAAAAGCATTATCAGCACGGCCTTGATCATGTCGCCTCGCGATTCTGACGCTAAAAAACGAGGGAACGAAAAGTGCGATCCCAATAAAGAGCGATGTGAGTGAAACAACACGTTTTTCTCCCTTTCTCGGTCTACTCGTCGTCAGATTCAAGAGGAATATAGTTTAATTAAGAAGAAGAGATGCGCTATTGCGTGTTGAAGCAGCCTTGAATGGTAAAGGACAGACTTACAGATTCGATTCGGCGTCTTGCGTCTTGAATCAGGCGGCTAAAGCATCAGGGCCAAGAACTGGGTACTCGTGAGCTCGGACCTAACCTTAGTAGTAAGGCGTACTCGTAACGAAAATTGGAATGCTGCGTAGATAAACTGGCAACCACAAATGCGAGCGAACTGACAAATACTTTCCTGGTAGTGCTCGGTTCATAAAATCAGCAGCAAAGAGCAGCTGAACATGTGGCTGAAACTGGTGGCGACCCTGTGGAATTCGTATGAGCCATCATGGCATGGGTATGAATGGCAATTTCTGCCATATGGCGAAACCCGAGATGGTTCATGCTGTAGTCTTTTTGAATCTGGATTTGCACGTGGCTATCGCTTGAACAAAAACCTGTTGCAAGTTTCAAGAGCCAGCTTCTCATAAACCGGCCATCAGCACTGCCAAAGCGACCACCACATCCTCGCTTGGAATCTCAGCACAGCAGTAATAGAGTATTTAATTCGAACCTTAAATGATTGAAAATACACTGGCACAGCGGCGCTCAGCATGACAGGCCAAGGAAATTCAATACGACAGACCACCATACGGTCGCATAAGAATGACATTACTGACATATTGCCATAGTAGGCTGCCAGCCTTTCCCTGCCACGGTGCCACCCCAAACCCTATTTCACAAATGTCCAACCCAATCCCAATTTCCACCCTACACCTCACAGCCAGCAGCAGCAAGCTCCAAGGAGAGTAACCTATCAAGTCCCAAGCCAGGGACTCTCCAGATCTCAGATGGTATAATCCAGAATGAACGAGGTGTGGTCCATAGTCTCACTAGGGTTCACCGTTGACATAGCAGGCTTCTCTTTCCCACCAACCAGCCTCCCTGGAATCCCCACAACCGTCGCACGCGGCGGCACATCCAACAGCACCACCGACCCTGCTCCTACTTTCGCTCCCTCCCCAATCCTGATTGGTCCAAGCAGCGTCGCACCAGCGCCAATCAGAACGCCGTCGCCGACCTTGGGATGCCTGTCGCCCGTGCTCTTCCCCGTCCCTCCCAGCGTCACATGATGCAGAATCGAAACATTGTTACCAATCGTTGCCGTTTCGCCAACCACCAGCCCCGTCGCGTGATCAAACAACACTCCATTGCCGATTCTCGCAGCCGGATGAATATCCACGTGGAAAACCTCCGACACGCGGCTTTGAAGCGCCATGGCCAATCCCTGACGGCCCTCCAGCCACAGCCGATGCGCGATCCGATGCGCCTGGAGCGCTTGGTAACCCTTGAAATTCAGCATCGCGTGGGAGTAACTCCGACACGCGGGGTCGCGGGTGTAAATGGCCCGCAGATCGGCGCGCAGCGCGTCCTGAACTTCAGGCGATCGAAGCATCACGTCGGTGAAGAGCGAGCAGAGCTGCGTGCTTAACAGAGTCGGCGATTGGAGCTTATTCGCCAGGTGAAACGCCATGGATCGCTCCAGGGAACGGTGCGCTAGCACCGTGGAGTAAAGGTACGAGGCCAACGCAGGCTCAGCCTCGGAATCCTGCCGAGCCTCTTCCCGGATGGTATACCAAAGCTCGTCCTGGACATTCGGAACGGTCTCGAACGAATCCGGGACCATCATCGGACGGGTGGAGACGTCCGATTGGAAAACGTGCTGGAAGAAGGGCGCGAACGGGCTGGACTCGTCCATCGAGCCCGCGCGGCGAGCGGCGCCATTGGTGAGAGACGAGCGGATGGCTGGAGACGGGTGTTGTTGTGACCGTCGCAAGGTGGCAGGAGCTAAGGATTTGGAGCTGAACGCGGGAAGGAAGGAGGAGGAGAGAGGAGGGGTAGTGATCGACGATGTTCGCCGGTGCGGAATTTTAGCGACGGCTTCCGACGTGAGCGCGGTGTGGTTCGTACTCAACGCGTGCGCCATGGTCCCGGAAGACAAGGGGAAATGATTGCGTGAGAGAAAAACGGCAAAATGAAGGCAACCCTAAGGAGGCGAGATAAGGGGTCTGTGAAGGAGTAGTAATTGCTGGGTATGAGTGCGAAGTGGGGATGATGGAATGGCAGGTCGATGAGCAGCTATAAGACAAACAACGCCAATGTAAGATGCTCTACGTTCGATGATTATACTCCCGGCTGGTCTAGGTTCCGACAATTAGAGCTCTATCTGGCATTCGTGCCCGCCACGCGATAGAGTACGAGGGCGGTTGCACAGTTCGGCAGCTTGTAAAACGGAAGCTGTCGCGTTGTCAGGCTTTACCCTACAATTGAAACCACCAGATCTCCGACAAGCACCGCTGGAAGCTGAGCATGTCTAGGAGGAGTACGGTACATGAGAGAACGAAGACGTGACGCTGGGGGAAGGCAAGTGGCCTGTGGAACCAGCTCGAGCTGGCGAAGTGAATGGTGGATAGCAATGCAGACGCGAACCGCGAAGCAGCAATAGCGGTCTCAGCTCGGATCAGATGATGCTGAGATAAGGATCACCAGTCACCACAAAACCTAAATTCAGCGTATAAAGACGATCAAGACGATGCAGCAGAAGGAAGGTGACGTCATGGGGAGTGGAGGGAGTGGGGGGGTTGAAGGAGGAGGGAGAAGGGAAAATATGTCACAAGTAACCAAAATGGGACTCGATAACGTTAATGGTTAAAAAAACGCGTACGGTCACTGTATCGGGTTTGCTGACGGGTTTGGTAAGTGGGGTCACGGATTCAGTCACTAACAACAGGTGAAAAATCACGCGAATGGTCACACATGTAACTCCCGCCAAAATTTCTTGAAACTCTACAAAATTCCCGCTCGCGCCCACCCAATCAGCTAATCTCTCAAAATACAAAAACCCGATCGGAATCGGATGCGGTTTGGGAACGGATCAACCCTAAACACCTGGCGAGTTGTGTTCAGGGCTGATTCATCCGAAAATGCATCCAGGTTCGTTTTGGGTATAATCTTTTTTGGGCGGGAGTCTCATCTCTGACCATTCGCGTTATTTTTTTCCAGTTGATTGTGACTGATTCCGTGAAACGTTTTATCAAACACGTGAAAACACCCTTTGCAGTGACCGTACCGGTTATTTTTTCCCAAAAATGATTTCGAGACCCTCGTTGATTATGAGTGGCATAGGCAAAGCAGGCAGGCCATGGGCGGCTGCGATTCAATCGTCTAAGGAACTGCCCAAAATTGATCATTTCACTCACTTTGATGCTTGAAGTGGTTCGATGTTCTCCCTTCCAGCCATCCCCCGTGAAGCATTCATCCACGGGCACGCGAGTTCTTTTCACTGTAGCTGTTTTCTAATCAATTTTGGAAAATGCACCAGCTCCGCTGCGCTGTGTTCCGAAGTTCGTTTGCGTAACCACCCTACAAAACCATTGTGGATGATTAGAAAACCAGTTTAAAACGTAATGAAACTCACCAAACCGTGAACAAAAGAGCGTTTGCTCGAATATACTTCTGACGGCACATGATCCACCTTTTCGCCTCACCCGCTCCCAAGATTATCGCAGATTGGACCAAAGAGAGGCGTTTCCTTCGCTGACCTGGCCTTTTCCCCGTGCGAAGAAAGCTGGTTCATGGTATCGGGACTTGAGCAATCCTTCAAGATAATAGCGAGGATAAGGTGCAAGAATCTTCACTCGGTATGATTTTTGTTATCATGCAACAATAGGACAGCCTACACTTGAAACCGTATGTAACGCGCAGTGAGGTGAAACACAATCAGAAACCAACTGCAAGTAAAACGACCGAATGATACTGAAATGCCAATATAGCGTATAGCCGACAAATTACAATACATCCAGATCAGTCAATTGATCCGTGATCCTCTGAATTTCTTCCCTGCCCACGCTGTCGCTCTCAATTGATTCTATGTCCTCAGTCCGCACGATAACTCCATGGCGGAAACGGCAGAACGTGGCGGAGATCCATGGCGAAAAGGCCAAGACTCTCTCTATTCGCCGAGCGTCGCCTTCTCCGTCGCGATCGCCCAAGTCGTCGTGCGACGAGTGATCGCAGGTGCGACTGCCTGCGAGGCTGGAACGAGCGTCGAAAGAGTTAACACGGCGTCTAGACATGGTTTCTCATCCTGTCTTCCTCCCACAATCCGCACACTCTCTATAACGCACACTCGAAGTCCCGAATCGCATTTCTGAGATTTCCCGTTTCCCCATGGTTTCTGAGATCGCCTAGCTCTGATCGCATTTCTGAGATTTCCAACAACTTCTTTCAGCAACTTGCTCCAAGCGAGCAAATACGCTCTCCCTCCACCCTTCCTCGTGTCCCCACGCAACAGTATTCGATCCCCCTGCATGCCGGCCTCTCCTCTCCCCTCCCTTGGCCCTCAAAGCCTCCCTGCACTCTTCCGTTACGGTCCCCTCCCCTCTTCCCCTTCTGCTCCCCTCCCCTTTCCCCTCCTTCTCCTCTCCTCTTCGCGGCGTCTAGGGTGGCTCAGAAGCCGCCTCATCTCGCTCTCTAGACTACCTTCGCCTCCCGCCCCGTGCATCCCCTCCCTCCCCTGCGCACACCCAACCTGCGCCCCCATCCCCTACTCCTATATGCCACCCCCCTCCCATGCGCGCCCCCTCACTCCCCCCTCCTCCCGCCCATGTCCAGACGGCCTGTGAGGCTCCTCTGAAGTTCCCGTCCCCCTCCTAACCCTCCCAGGTCCGGATGGCGGGGCGAGGGAGGAGGAGCTGGTGTTTGGCGGCGTGTGTGCTGCTCTGCTGGCGCACGAACCGCTCAGCGACGCAACATGCTCCTTACCCCCTTCCTTTCCCCTACCGGCTAACCCCCACATGCAGGTCCGGGTGAAGCAGCGAGGGGGTAGGAGCTGGTGTTGGCGTGTGTGCTGCTCTGGCGGCACACGGCCCTAGTGCAATGGTAGCACATGGATTTAAGCTACTCAAGCTGTACCCTGCGCAAACAAACCCCTGCAGGTCTGGACGGAGCAGCGAGGGAGGAGGAGCTGGTGTTTTTTGAGAATTCTCAAAAAACATAAGCTGGTGTTCGACGGCGTGCATGCTGCTTCCCTCAGGGTGCTTCTTCCATTATCCCTTTCCCGGAATAATCCTTCCCAACCCACCCTTTCAGGTCTGGATGGAGCAGCGAGGGAGGAGGAGCTGGTGTTTGACGGTGTGCACGCTGCTCTGGTGGCACACGGCCCTGGTCAGCTGCAGCGACTGGAGCTGCGCTGTGTGGCGGGTGGACGGGTGCTGCTGCACGCTGCTGTCACCACCTCCTTCTGGTGCCAGGTGAGTGGAAGAGCCCTTCTCATCGCGACTGGCAGTAGCACACAGCCCTGGTCAGCTGCAGCGGTTGGAGCTGCGCTGTGTAGCTGATGCGCGAGTGTTGCTGCACGCCGCTGTCACCAACACCTTCTGGTGCCAGGTGGGTACAACAACGAACGAACAATTCCCATGCTGCTCTTTTAGCACACGGCCTGCACGGGTCAGCTGCAGCGCCTGGAGCTGCGCTGTGTGGCGGATGGACGCGCGCTGCTGCTCGCCGCTGTCACCACGTCCTTCTGGTGCCAGGTGTGTGAAAGAAACCCTTCTTATCTCCTAGCTTTTGCGGGCACACGGCACGGGTCAGCTACAGCGCCTGGAGCTGCGAGCAGTGGCGGACGGGCGGGTGCTGCTCCTTGCTGCCATCGCTGCTCCATGCTGCCATCACCACCTCCTTCGGTTCGGTGCCAGGTGAGTGAAACCCCTTCATACCTTACCTATACGTCCCCAGCTTCCAAGTCGACTCAAAAGCCACCTAGTAGCTCACCCTTCCTTCATTCCTTACCTACTCTTCTCTTCTCTTATCCCCATCATCTCCCCCTCTCCCCACTCCGCCTCACAGCTCCAGAAAGATGTGAGAGTGCACGTGGTCACACCAGACAGTACTTGTTGTTCAGCCGAGGGGTCTTAGAGATCGCTTATTCTTCTCTCGCCCCTTATCCCCATCACCCCGCCACCCCTTTCCTCGTAGGCATTGATGAAGGCCTGGAAGGGTATGCCCTCCGGCAGAAACATGTTTGTCTTGTTTTAGTTTCTGTTAACGAGAAGAGTTCCGGTTTCACAGACTCTCGGCTATTAGCTAGTGTTAAGATTTACACTGTTTTTCCTACTTGCTTAAGCCTAAACCTAAGCATTGCTGCTCACTGGAAGATGTCAGAAGGGCCGTAGAGATGGCTTATTCTTCTCTCGCCCCTTGTCCCCATCACCCCGCCACCCCTTCCCACTCCGCCTAGCAGCTCACACCTGACAGATGTGCAGGTGCACATGTCACACCAGACAGATGTGCGGGTGCACATGTCACACCAGACGGCACTCGCTGCTCATCCGAGGGGCACTCGCTTTTGAACTTGCTCCTAAGTTCATACCTTCCCTCCTCTCCCCCACCATCGTACACAGCCCCAGACGGATGTGCCTATTTTTGAGTCGACTCAGAAGAAAGTACACAGCCCCAGACGGATGTGCCTATTTTTGAGTCGACTCAGAAGAAAGTACACAACCCCAGACGGATGTGTGCAGGTGCACGTGGTGACACCAGACAGATGGGCTCCTCTACCTGGCTTGACGTGACATCTATACCGTTCTCCCTCCCTCTCCCTCCCTCTTTCCCGCCCCCCTCTCCTCACTCCGCCTCGCAGCCCCAGACTGACGTGCGCGTGCACATGGTCACACCAGACGGCACTCGCTGGATCCTCATGTTTGCAAGGTATGGGCTGCAATTAGAAAACTGCTGTGCTGTTCGTATGGCACTGGTAGTGGGGAGATTGCTGTCTCAAAGTACTCTCCCCACTATCAGTACCGGGCAAACAGGTTGCAAGGGCCAACTTCTTTTGAGGCGCCTCAAAAATCGTCTCGGCAAACAGGTTGCAAGGGCCAACCTCCTGTTTGCTCGGTACTGCCAGTGGAGAGAGTACGTTGAGACGTGTCGAAAGTCCGCATGTTAGCAGCATGGTACGGTACTTTAGCTGGGAGAGGATACAACAGCAATAAGGTGTTGTTCCGAAAGAGAAGGGGCAGGATTGTTTAGCCCAGTGCTTATACCAGTGCTTATACCAGTGCTTATACCAGTGCTTATACCAGTGCTTATACCAGTGCTTATACCAGTGCTGATACCAGTGTGTCGACAGTGTGGTGTTAGTCTATCTGATGTTCGCCCTCTTTCGAGTCTCCAACCACGCCTAACCGCTCACTCATCCTATTTGTCCTGCCCTCAAGCCTCACCTGATTTCGCCCCTGCCTCCCTCTTCAGCCCAGCAGACTCCTCCGCCTTTCTTCTCGCCATCGGCTTTGCTCGTGCTCTCGCCGCTTCCCTCTCAGCCCACCTTGCTTCTGCCACGGCACAGACCTACCCTCCGCATGCCTACGTGCCCGTCCCTCCCACGTTGCAAGTAAGCCTGATTGGGAGAATGCCAAAAGGGCTCACTCGCAAAGCAGCAAGATCCGTGGATTAAAAGCAAAGAATTTCCTTCTGCCACCGCTTGGACAAGTGAAGCTCAAAGGGGGTTCACTCTTAGAGTACTTTCGCTTCGCCCGTGTGCTCGCCATGCCAGCTCCCTTTCGGCGCACCTTGCTGCTATTGCAGTAGCGCTGCGCAGCGCAGACTGTAGCTGGCAGCTCTCATGTGTGTTCATTGCCCACACTACATCCCGCACAATGATGTTTCTTCCATGCAATAGTTTTCAATGGCTTGAACTCAAGTGACATGATCGTGTGTGGCGTGTGCATGTGTGCATGTGTGCATGTGTGCATGTGTGCAGGATGTTCTGCTGAGCACAGGCGGACACAGGTCACGGGCGGAGGGTGGAGACGCAGTAAGTTTGTGAGGGTACATTGGGAGCAGAGAGGAGGGGAGCGGAGGGGTGGGAGGAATTGGGTTGAATGAAATATAGGATGCAGCGAGTGAGGGGAGTACTGGAAGTGGGAGTGAGGCCTCATGACGGAATGGAATGTATGGAACGTGTCTCTAATTCAGATGGAGCCCCAGATAGCCCAAATCAGATTTTGAGGTATATGGAAAACGGAGAGACTGGAGCAACCAAGCAGGAATGGAGTTGCAGTTGCAGCTGCAGCTGCAGCAGCGTCATGGTTGCGGTTGCATTTCCAGTTGCAGATGCAGATGCAGATGCAGATGCAGTTGCAGATGCAGATGCAGTTGCAGATGCAGTTGCAGATGCAGATGCAGATGCAGGTGCAGATGCAGATGCAGATGCAGATGCAGATGCAGTTGCAGATGCAGTTGCAGATGCAGTTGCAGATGCAGATGCAGATGCAGATGCAGATGCAGATGCAGATGCAGTTGCAGTTGCAGATGCAGATGCAGATGCAGTTGCAGATGCAGTTGCAGATGCAGATGCAGATGCAGTTGCAGATGCAGATGCAGATGCAGGTGCAGGTGCAGGTGCAGGTGCAGGTGCAGTTGCAGTTGCAGTTGCAGATGCAGATGCAGATGCAGATGCAGATGCAGATGCAGTTGCAGATGCAGATGCAGATGCAGATGCAGATGCAGTTGCAGATGCAGATGCAGATGCAGATGCAGATGCAGTTGCAGATGCAGATGCAGATGCAGATGCAGATGCAGATGCATTTGCAGATGCAGATGCAGATGCAGATGCAGATGCAGATGCAGTTGCAGTTGCAGATGCAGATGCAGTTGCAGTTGCAGTTGCAGTTGCAGTTGCAGATGCAGTTGCAGATGCAGATGCAGATGCAGTTGCAGGTGCAGGTGCAGGTGCAGGTGCAGGTGCAGGTGCAGGTGCAGGTGCAGTTGCAGATGCAGTTGCAGATGCAGATGCAGATGCAGATGCAGATGCAGATGCAGATGCAGATGCAGATGCAGATGCAGATGCAGATGCAGATGCAGTTGCAGTTGCAGTTGCAGTTGCAGTTGCAGGTGCAGGTGCAGGTGCAGGTGCAGGTGCAGGTGCAGGTGCAGGTGCAGGTGCAGGTGCAGGTGCAGGTGCAGGTGCAGGTGCAGGTGCAGGTGCAGGTGCAGGTGCAGGTGCAGGTGCAGGTGCAGGTGCAGTTGCAGTTGCAGATGCAGATGCAGATGCAGATGCAGATGCAGATGCAGATGCAGATGCAGATGCAGATGCAGATGCAGATGCAGATGCAGATGCAGATGCAGATGCAGTTGCAGTTGCAGATGCAGATGCAGATGCAGATGCAGATGCAGATGCAGATGCAGATGCAGATGCAGATGCAGATGCAGATGCAGATGCAGATGCAGATGCAGATGCAGATGCAGATGCAGATGCAGATGCAGATGCAGATGCAGTTGCAGTTGCAGATGCAGATGCAGATGCAGATGCAGATGCAGATGCAGATGCAGTTGCAGTTGCAGATGCAGTTGGAGGTGCAGATGCAGATGCAGATGCAGATGCAGATGCAGATGCGGATGCAGATGCGGATGCAGTTGCAGATGCAGGTGCAGGTGCAGGTGCAGGTGCAGGTGCAGATGCAGATGCATTTGCAGATGCAGATGCAGATGCAGATGCAGATGCAGTTGCAGATGCAGTTGCAGATGCAGTTGCAGTTGCAGTTGCAGTTGCAGATGCAGATGCAGTTGCAGATGCAGATGCAGATGCAGATGCAGATGCAGATGCAGATGCAGTTGCAGTTGCAGATGCAGGTGCAGGTGCAGGTGCAGATGAGATGCAGTTGCAGATGCAGATGCAGATGCAGATGCAGATGCAGTTGCAGATGCAGTTGCAGTTGCAGTTGCAGTTGCAGTTGCAGATGCAGATGCAGTTGCAGATGCAGATGCAGATGCAGATGCAGATGCAGATGCAGTTGCAGATGCAGATGCAGATGCAGATGCAGATGCAGATGCAGATGCAGATGCAGTTGCAGATGCAGATGCAGATGCAGATGCAGATGCAGATGCAGTTGCAGATGCAGTTGCAGATGCAGATGCAGATGCAGATGCAGTTGCAGATGCAGATGCAGTTGCAGATGCAGTTGCAGATGCAGATGCAGATGCAGTTGCAGTTGCAGTTGCAGATGCAGATGCAGATGCAGATGCAGATGCAGATGCAGATGCAGATGCAGATGCAGTTGCAGATGCAGATGCAGATGCAGATGCAGATGCAGATGCAGATGCAGTTGCAGATGCAGATGCAGATGCAGATGCAGTTGCTGATGCAGATGCAGATGCAGATGCAGTTGCAGATGCAGATGCAGATGCAGATGCAGATGCAGATGCAGATGCAGATGCAGTTGCAGATGCAGATGCAGATGCAGATGCAGATGCAGATGCAGTTGCAGATGCAGATGCAGATGCAGATGCAGATGCAGATGCAGATGCAGATGCAGTTGCAGATGCAGATGCAGATGCAGATGCAGATGCAGTTGCAGATGCAGATGCAGATGCAGATGCAGATGCAGATGCAGATGCAGATGCAGATGCAGTTGCAGATGCAGTTGCAGATGCAGATGCAGATGCAGATGCAGATGCAGATGCAGTTGCAGATGCAGATGCAGATGCAGATGCAGTTGCTGATGCAGATGCAGATGCAGATGCAGTTGCAGATGCAGATGCAGATGCAGATGCAGATGCAGATGCAGTTGCAGATGCAGATGCAGATGCAGATGCAGATGCAGTTGCAGATGCAGATGCAGATGCAGATGCAGATGCAGATGCAGATGCAGATGCAGTTGCAGATGCAGATGCAGATGCAGATGCAGATGCAGTTGCAGATGCAGATGCAGATGCAGATGCAGATGCAGATGCAGATGCAGATGCAGTTGCAGATGCAGATGCAGATGCAGATGCAGATGCAGATGCAGATGCAGTTGCAGATGCAGATGCAGATGCAGTTGCAGTTGCAGTTGCAGATGCAGTTGCAGATGCAGTTGCAGTTGCAGTTGCAGATGCAGATGCAGATGCAGATGCAGATGCAGATGCAGATGCAGATGCAGATGCAGTTGCAGATGCAGATGCAGATGCAGTTGCAGATGCAGATGCAGATGCAGATGCAGATGCAGTTGCTGATGCAGATGCAGATGCAGATGCAGTTGCAGATGCAGATGCAGATGCAGATGCAGATGCAGATGCAGATGCAGTTGCAGATGCAGTTGCAGATGCAGATGCAGATGCAGTTGCAGTTGCAGTTGCAGATGCAGATGCAGATGCAGATGCAGATGCAGATGCAGATGCAGATGCAGATGCAGTTGCAGATGCAGATGCAGATGCAGATGCAGATGCAGATGCAGATGCAGTTGCAGATGCAGATGCAGATGCAGATGCAGTTGCTGATGCAGATGCAGATGCAGATGCAGTTGCAGATGCAGATGCAGATACAGATGCAGATGCAGATGCAGATGCAGATGCAGTTGCAGATGCAGATGCAGATGCAGATGCAGATGCAGTTGCAGATGCAGATGCAGATGCAGATGCAGATGCAGATGCAGATGCAGATGCAGTTGCAGATGCAGATGCAGATGCAGATGCAGATGCAGTTGCAGATGCAGATGCAGATGCAGATGCAGATGCAGATGCAGATGCAGTTGCAGATGCAGTTGCAGATGCAGTTGCAGATGCAGATGCAGATGCAGATGCAGATGCAGATGCAGTTGCAGTTGCAGATGCAGATGCAGATGCAGTTGCAGATGCAGTTGCAGATGCAGATGCAGATGCAGTTGCAGATGCAGATGCAGATGCAGGTGCAGGTGCAGGTGCAGGTGCAGGTGCAGTTGCAGTTGCAGTTGCAGATGCAGATGCAGATGCAGATGCAGATGCAGATGCAGATGCAGATGCAGATGCAGTTGCAGATGCAGATGCAGTTGCAGATGCAGTTGCAGATGCAGATGCAGATGCAGTTGCAGTTGCAGTTGCAGATGCAGATGCAGATGCAGATGCAGATGCAGATGCAGATGCAGATGCAGATGCAGTTGCAGATGCAGATGCAGATGCAGATGCAGATGCAGATGCAGTTGCAGATGCAGATGCAGATGCAGATGCAGTTGCTGATGCAGATGCAGATGCAGATGCAGTTGCAGATGCAGATGCAGATGCAGATGCAGATGCAGATGCAGATGCAGATGCAGTTGCAGTTGCAGATGCAGATGCAGATGCAGATGCAGATGCAGTTGCAGATGCAGATGCAGATGCAGATGCAGATGCAGATGCAGATGCAGATGCAGTTGCAGATGCAGATGCAGATGCAGATGCAGATGCAGTTGCAGATGCAGATGCAGATGCAGATGCAGATGCAGATGCAGATGCAGTTGCAGATGCAGATGCAGATGCAGATGCAGATGCAGATGCAGATGCAGTTGCAGATGCAGATGCAGATGCAGTTGCAGATGCAGATGCAGATGCAGATGCAGATGCAGATGCAGTTGCAGATGCAGATGCAGATGCAGATGCAGATGCAGATGCAGTTGCAGATGCAGATGCAGATGCAGATGCAGATGCAGTTGCAGATGCAGATGCAGATGCAGATGCAGATGCAGTTGCAAATGCAGATGCAGATGCAGATGCAGTTGCAGATGCAGATGCAGATGCAGATGCAGTTGCAGATGCAGATGCAGATGCAGATGCAGATGCAGTTGCAGATGCAGATGCAGATGCAGATGCAGATGCAGATGCAGATGCAGTTGCAGATGCAGATGCAGATGCAGATGCAGATGCAGTTGCAGATGCAGTTGCAGATGCAGTTGCAGATGCAGATGCAGATGCAGATGCAGATGCAGTTGCAGTTGCAGTTGCAGTTGCAGATGCAGATGCAGATGCAGATGCAGATGCAGATGCAGATGCAGATGCAGATGCAGATGCAGATGCAGATGCAGATGCAGATGCAGTTGCAGTTGCAGTTGCAGTTGCAGATGCAGATGCAGATGCAGATGCAGATGCAGATGCAGATGCAGATGCAGATGCAGTTGCAGTTGCAGATGCAGATGCAGATGCAGTTGCAGATGCAGATGCAGATGCAGATGCAGATGCAGTTGCATGGCATGTGACACCGTCGAATGTTCCCCCATGTCCGTCGTGCTGGTTCATTGTGCACCCTATGCTCGAAATCAAATCATGTCGCAATGAATTCCATAATTATTTCTGGTTGCTTTTCAGCTTGTGTCCACTGTCCAGTTACTTTTTCTTTTCTTTTTTTGTGACTGCTGCTGCTTCTTGATCATTCGCCTTTATCACAGGTGCAAGTGGCGCTGACAGCATGGGTGGCTGACCCCTTCACATCGCCACACCTGCCTCCCCTCATGCCTTTTCTCGTCACTCAAGGTTCGTTCACACAGTGCTGCACCGCACTGTGCACCCCAAGACCTGGAGACAACTTTTGAGGCGCCTCAAGGAGTTTTGCTCCAAGTTTATATTTGAGAAACGAGTGCTCGCAATGTTTGGGATCGCCTCGCTGCTGCTTTGAAACGTTCAATATGCAATGCTTGCGAATACTCTTTTCTTTTTCTTTTTTTCTTACGTCTAATTATCCCCTTCCTGCCACTCTCTCTTTTTTTGTTTATTCCTGCTGCTTCACATGCACACACATTCAACCTTTCCCAGGCAAGGGAGTGAAGCTGATACTAGGCTCACACAAGGCCTTAGAAGGTATGATATTTCCTGCTTTGATAATGCCTGTTATTATTCTCTCCTCTTGACCAGTACTTTTAAATGATTTTAATGTACAGTTTGTTTTTTTTCCGACTAAAGGTATTGTCTTCTTCATGATTCTGGGCTAAGGCTGCAGATGTTGCGACACCTTCCAGCCGATTTTCCTGCCCACCCTCCCCCTCCAATCCAAGTTGCCAACTCATTTCTCTTGCGAATAGTCTGCTTTGATGCTTTGCGTTGGAACGATGCTGCCCACAGCATGCCGGGTGCTAATGATCTGCTGCTGCTAATCATCATATGGGGTTTGTCTCGTCGTTCTAATAACCATACGAGTTGATGGAAGTAAGACCTCCGCAGCCCACCTGTCTGCGTCTGACAGCTCCTGCCCACAGCATGCCGGGCGCTAATCATCTGCTGCTGCTAATCATCTTCTGCTAATCATCTGCTGCTGCTAATCATCTTCTGCTAATCATCTTCTGCTAATCATCTGCTGCTGCTAATCATCTTCTGCTAATCATCTGCTGCTGCTAATCATCTTCTGCTAATCATCTGCTGCTGCTAATCATCTTCTGCTAATCATCTGCTGCTGCTAATCATCTTCTGCTAATCATCTGCTGCTGCTAATCATCTTCTGCTAATCATCTGCTGCTGCTAATCATCTTCTGCTAATCATCTGCTGCTGCTGATCATCTGCTTACCCCGTTTGCCACCCGGCCATCCACCCACCCACCAGCTCTAGAGCAAGGCATAGTGGGCATGCGCAAGGAGGGAAGGCGCTTTCTTGCTGTTTCACCCTCAGCAGCCGGCCGTGGGGACTTCCCTTCCCTGCCTCCTAATGTACGTTGACTAAAGGGAATTATAGGATCCGCGCATGCTGAGTTGAGCCTTTGAGACATCACAATATGCGCGACGGTTACTAAAATGGTAACGGAAAAAAAAAAAAAAAAAAAAAAAAAAAAAAAAAAAAAAAAAAAAAAAAACGCATTTAAATTTGTCTGCCCGCATATGCCCTCTCCCTCACCCCCACCGTTTTCTCCCCCAACCCCCCTCTCTCTCTATCGCCCCCCTTCTTGCAGCTGCCCCCAAACACCCTCCTATTCCTCGACATCACCCTTCATCGAATGCGAAAGCCAGCAGCATCATCATCATCAGCAACATTATCAGCAGCATCAGCAGCGGCATCACCAGGGGATGCCATGGCTCAGGGCCAATCAAGAGGAGCCGCTACCAGCAGGCGCCGCAAATCATCCACACACTCTCTCCCTCACTCCTCAACTCCCAGCGAGGCTGACTTTGACCCGAACCCAAACCCGAACCTAGACCCGGACCTAGACAGTGACATGAGCGATGCTCTTTCAGTCGTGTCGGCCACAGACTCTCTTTCCTCCTTCTCCTCCCGCTCAGCTCCTGTCAGCCCCTATAAGCTCCTCCGCAATGCCTGGCCGGGAGGCCTCTCTTCTGCTTCTGGCCTGAACGGGTCAGCTTCCTCTCTCGCCTCGGCCTCTGGTAAGACTCCACCTGGCACGCCCCCATCGGCTGGTGCTGCGGCCGCCTCGGGAATTCCGCCTAGGCCTACCAGTATGGGGCTTGCAGTGAGTGAGAGAAGGGAGGAGGGGGTACGGGGTGTGGAAGGGGTTAGGGGCGCAGATGGGGTAAGTGGGGCAGAAGGATCAGCGACAGTAGGGGTAGAAGGAGTACAAGCAAGAGCAGCAGTCAATTCAGCAACACAACAAGGTGTTTGCAAGGATAGTGCTGATGCGAAGGGTTCTGTTGATGGTGGTGGTGCTGCTGCTGCTGCTGCTGCTGCTGCTGCTGCTGCTGCTGCTGTGAATAGCAATGACGGTGGCGCCACAAAGTGTGATGTTCGTGCTGTGGCCGAATCTCTTTCTGCCGTGCCGAATGGAGAGATGACACATCAGCAAGTCTCGGGAGCACCAATGGATGGGCGTGACAGGGTGGCAACCACAGCGGCAGCACCCACACCATCAACAGCAGCAGCAGTAGTAACGCCACCATCAGCAGCAGCACTAGCAGCAGCAGCAGCCACAACAGCAGCAACCCCATTGCCAGCAGCAGTAGAAACGCCGACATCATCCACTGAGCCGTCGGGTCAAGCTGACGCCAATGCAGCCGCAGTAAGGCAGCAAGGAGAAGCTCACCATGACGTTGTAACTGGAGGCTTTGCAGCAGCGACGCCCAACAACTCACGCGAGCATCTTGACACTTCCTCGCCCCCCCTCCCATCGCTTCTTGCTTCGACTGAAAGCTCTAACGCCACCCTGCCACATACCAGCAACTCTTATATAAACAACAGCACCTCGTCTTCTACCCAACCCCCCATCGTCCTCCTCCCTCTCCCCTTCATCCTTCCCTCCCCTCCCACCTCGTCCTCCATACCCCCTCTCATGCCGCCCAAGCATACCAACTTGTCAGCATGTGTAGAGAGCTCCACTAGAGGACAAGATAGACAGGCTGGCAGGGAGGGAGAGACAGAGGGGGAAGGGCCAGGAGATGGGTTTAGGGAAGGTATGACAGGAGGTTCGGGAGGTATAAGGTATGGTGGAGCAGCAGTGGATTGGTCCGGTATGGATAGATTACGTGCACTAGAGGACAAAATTGACAGGCTGGCAGACATTACACGACTCTGGCTGGGCAGGTCTTCTCCCTGGCCGGCGAGCTCCAGACGAGTCCAAAAATTGCTGCCCAGAGGTGCTGCTGGGAGTGGTAGATCAGAGGCACGTAATGGTGGTGTTGGGGAGACCAGCAGGGGGGACATGCAATTGGGTGAGACCTGCAGTGGAGACAAGGGACTGGGTGATGTACTGTGTGTGAGTGGGGAATTGGATAGAGAGGGCAAACGGGGTGAGGCGGTGGAGAGAGCAGTGAGAAGACTGGTGAAACTAGGGGAGGGAAAGAGGGGTGGAATTGGGAGTGGTATGGATGAGAACGCTCAGGAGGGGGGGAAATCTCAGGAGGAGGGGGAAGGAGGAGGGGGTAGAAGTGAGAATGTTGTGGGGTGGGGAGATGGGGAGGAGGGTGCGTGTGTGGGTGAGAGAAGGGGAGAGGAGGAAGAGAAGGCGTCGAGAAGAAGAAAAATAGGAGAGGCGGGGGAATGCGAGGGCAGCAGCACACCTGAGAAAGAGGGTTTGCCAAAGGAAGGGGAGGAGGCAGAAGAGGCAGCGGAGGAGGAGGAGGATTCACAGGAGGAGGAGGTGATAGGGGTGGTGTCTTTAGTATTGGCAGAGAACAGAGAGCTGCGGCGCATGCTGCGAAGGAGTCAGGAGAGAGAGAGGAGAGCAGCAGACAGATGCAGGGAAATGGAAGGTGAGTGAGGGAGGTGTGGTGAGTGGGAGGGAGGGATGGTGAGGGGTGGTGTCTCTGGTACTGGCTGAGAACAGGGAGCTGCGGCGCATGCTGAGGAGGAGCCAGGAGAGAGAGAGGCGGGCAGCAAAGCGATGCAGGGAAATGGAAGGTGAGTGGGAGGGGAGGTGAGTGGAGGGAGGGGTGGTGAGTGGAGGGAGGGGTGGTGAGTGGGGGGAAGTGATAGGGGTGGTGTGTCTGGTGCTTGCAGATAACATGGAGCTGCGGCGCATGTTTAAATAGAGTCAGGAGAGAGAGAGAGAGAGAGAGAGAAGAGCAGCAGAGCAGTGCGGAGAGATGGAAGGTGAGTGTGAGGGAGGGACGGTGAGTGGGAAGGAGGGGTGGTGAGGAGAGGGAGCCAGTCTGGCAGGCAGGAAGCGCATCCCCTCTCTCTCCTGGCTTCACACCACCCCTATCACCCTGCCTTCCTGCCTGCCCCTCTAGCTTTCCCACACTTACCCCACTTAGCGCTGCAGTTGAAGTTGATTTCTGTTTTAGATCCTACAATCATCTCCCACTGTCTGCCTTCCTGCCTGCTTTCCTGCCTGTCTTCCTGCCTTCTCCCACCCTTACCCCTCTTTGCACTGCAGCTGAAATTGCTCGGCTCAAGCAGCTTGTACTGCAGCCCAGGGAAGCAAGGGACATGCAGCAAGCGGATGATCCGGATGGTGAAACAGATGGTGAAACCCCACATCCATGAGTCCTCTGATGCGTAATACACTATCTATTGCAGTAGCTGTTGCTGTTTCTGATGTGCCTCAAAAGTCATCCATACCGTAAGACCTACGACGATATGAATTGTAACACAGTATGTGCCACCATATTATGTAGTGCCTGGAGTAGCTGTTGCTGATTTCATATGGTGCAGCTGCACTGTCCGGTTCTGTTTTCCGCTCACTTGTACTAGTACCTTCGTGCTCTGTGTCGAGATAAATTAGAGTTTTACTCTGGAAAGGAGCAGTAAAAGACACTAATGCACACTCTACGAGTGAATACATTATTCACATTATATACATGCAATGTACAGTACCGAGTCCAGGGCAACTGTAGTACTTGTCCACACATTGCAACAACGTTGCATGAAGCCTCATGATTCCCTCTCATGATTCCCTCTCATGATTCCCTCTCATGATTCCCTCTCATGATTCCCTCTCATGATTCCCTCTCATGATTCCCTCTCATGATTCCCTCTCATGATTCCCTCTCGTGATTCCCTCTCATGATTCCCTCTCATGATTCCCTCTCATGATTCCCTCTCATGATTCCCTCTCATGATTCCCTCTCATGATTCCCTCTCACAAGTCGACCACGTGGTACCCTTACCGCCAGACAGACACTCTTTTCAGGCACCCCAGAAGTTTTGCTGCCACACTAAGCGCCTGCACATGGGGCTGTCAAGCAGAGCACCGCGTGACCGACCGCGCCACCTGCAGGCGGGACTGGCAACAACCATTTGCAGGCAGCAGGGCTGTTGCCAGTTCCATCCCCTGCTGCCTGCAAATGGCGCGATCGGTCAAGCGGTGCTCTGCTTGACCGCGCGGCCACAGCGCTGTGCCCACACGGGATGAAAACCACCTGCCCAGTTCATCTGCATTCCTCCCCCTCACGTGTCAAACACCTGGTACACTCGTCGCAACAACCGGCGGCAGATGGGGCAGAGAGAGCTGCTCTCCTTCACAGCCCTTGCACACCGCAGGCAGCACACGCGGTGCCCACACGGGATGAACACCGCCCTTCTCACCATCTGTCCGACCAACTGACACTCTGTCTGCAACCGCCCTCTCACCCTCTGCCTTCACGTGTCAAACACCTGATACACTCGCCGCACAAACCGCCGGCAGATGGGGCAGAGCGAGCTGCTCTCTTTAACGGCCCTGGCACACCGCAGGCAGCACACGCGGTGCCCACACGGGATGAACACAGCCCTCCTCACCCTCCCAGCACATACCACACACACCTGCTCTGCAGGCAACTCATGCTCTGGATCTAAATCCAGCCCCTCCTCCTCTTCCTCCTCCTGCCCCTCCCCTCTTCCCACCCCTCTCTCCTCTCTCTGAGCCTCTCTAATCTCCTCCAATGCCTCTAGAATCTCCTCTAACTGCTGGTTTCGCCTGCTTGACGGGTCGCGAGCAGCGGCAGGGAGGAGGGGAGGGAATTCCTCCGGCCAGGCGCCAGCAGCACCAGCACCTTGCAATGTAAGAGCGTCATTTGTGGCAGCCTCCCTCTGCTGCGCGTACTCCCGCTCCCGCCTCTCGTTGCGACGCTTTCTGACAGGAGGTGGAGAGGCAGGGGTGGGGAAAGGGCAGGGGCAGGGAAGAATCAGGGGCAGAAAGAACTTGAACTCTCACTTTCACCAAATAACACCTCTCCCACAAACACCCCGGTTCTCACCTCCACCACATGAAGCCTACGACAGCAGCAGCAGGGCACTCCCGTATCCACCATATACCCCTCCCCACCCCTGAAGTTCTCACCTCCACCACAAAAGCCTGCGACAGCAGATGCAGCGAGAGCAAAGGCGCTACCGTTCTCATAACATAAGACCTACCCAACCCCCTCCAGTTCTCACCTCCACCACATGAAGCCTGCGACAGCAGATGCAGCCAGAGCAAAGAGCGCTACCTGCTTCACCTGCGTCCTCCGTTGCTGCTGCAGCCGCTGCAGTGCCACCTCTCTACTCTCGTTCAGGCTGGGAGAACAGGGGACGCAGCGAGAATGAAGTGAGTGAGTGTGGGATTGTGAAAAGAGGTGAAGGTTGGCGGTAATGACAGTCACTTTCAAGACTTCTCAAAAGGAAGAGCAGGAAGACACAACCGTAGACACGAAGTGTGGACAGTGAAGAGGGAAGGTGGCAAGGGGAGGGGAGGAGAGGGGGAAGGGATGGGGCGAGGGGAAGGAAAGGTGGGCAGAGAAGAGGGAAGGGAGGGAAGGAGAGGAAGGGGAGAGTGGGGCTGAAGTGAGCGGAGGTAGGGAAAGCGGAGAGGAGCAAAGAGGAGGAGTTTCGTTCTATGAAGGAAAAGGGGACAGGCAGGAACGCGGAGGTGGGACAGGACAGGGCATCGAGATTCTCACAGGAAGAAAGGAAGGCGCGGAGAAGGTACCAGCGCCGCCCGGCCATCCTTGCTGACGTGGACGTGGCCGACAGCTGTCAGCGTGTGATTCACCGGCAGCACCCGGTGCTCCGACCGCATCCCGAGGGGCATGCGCCGCCCGGCGATTAAATGGGCGGCGGAGGCGAGAGTGGGCGGCAGAGCCTTGTGCAGGTGGGAGTGGAGGGTGACTAGAGGGATAGGGGGTTGCTGATTGGACGAGGACTCGGCCAATGGGATGCTGACACGTGGAGCTGATGTGTCTGAAGATTCCGCCAGGCAGAAGGGAACCTGCGAGATGCACCATGGAAGGAGGGAGGAGAAATGGGAGAAGTGGAGACTCAGGGAGTTGGGGGGGATGGTGTGTGAGTGGGTGCAAACATCTCTATGTGCACTGGAATGTGCATGGCAGCATGGGTACAGGTACACGCATAGGCATGGTAACATAGATTGGCGAGGGTCATGTGTGTATGTGTCTGGACAAATAATCGTAACGAATGGGCTGCGACACTTACAGGCGGCAGCATGGGTCATACCTCGGAACGGAGCGACTCAGAGGAACGACTTTGGAGTCGATCTTGAGAATTCTCCACCTCGGGCGGCATGGTTCATACCTCAGAGTGGTAGAAGCTGACTTGCTCTGACTTGACACGCCATCCCAGGAGGGCGTGGAGCTCCGAGTACACCATCTGCCACGTGGCATAAGCAGCAAAGGACACGTGTCACTCTCAGACTGCTGACACGTGGCACATGCAAGACAAACATGGTTCTCTTGACCTCATGCTGTGTGGCAATCTGCTGCCACTCCACTCCACTTCCCCAACATTCTCCATCCAACCCTTGTTGCTGCAGGCCTTTCTTGTTAATTCCTTGAAAAAGGCCTCCAACTTTATCCGACATCATGACTCGTGCCCCTTCACTCACCTCATCAACTCTCTCTACAATCACCGCGCCTGCAGTCACACCATCCCCTTGCACGCTCCTTCCACACTCCGCCACCCCTTGCCACTCCACCCCTTCACGTGCTGCCACCCCCCCCAGCACTGCACCGCCACCAGCAGGCGTCGCACTACCACCAATGCCCCCACCAGCACCAGCACCAGCACCAAAAGCACCACCGCCATTGGAAGCAGCAACACCACCACCACCACCACCACCACCACCACCACCACCACCACCACCACCACCACCACCACCACCACCACCACCACCACCACCACCACCACCACCACCACCACCACCACCACCACCACCACCACCACCACCACTACCACCACCGCTGTGCGCTGGTTGCACCACGCCTCTCACCGCCACCAGTTCCTCCCCCTGCACCGATTGTGACTTTAACGAGGGCTCGCTGCTACTCGTCATTGTGTGCCCGCCCCACCACCGCTTCTGCCACCCCTTACGAACCGCTGGTAGCCGCCACGAGTCAACTGAGTCAACGGAGTCAACGCATCCAGACGAGTCAACCGAGTCAACGCATCCAGACGAGTCAACCTGTGCTGGTGCACGGGTCAGGGCTGCAGCCTCTCGCCGTCTCACCACAGCCTCTTCCAGTCTCTCTAATCCTTTAGCTACTCTGTCTAGCCGCCACCGCGCCCCATCCCTCTGAACCCCCTTCAGGTCGCCTTTCCAGGCCTCCGCTCTTGCGCCCTCGCCTATTGCGCCCTCCTCTCTTGCGCCCTCCGCTCGTGCGCCCTCTGCACTTGCGCCCATCCCTCTTTCGCCCTCCGCTCTTGCGCTACCAGTGCTAACGCCCCCTCCTGCCGTAGATCCTTTCCCCACACGTTCAGCTGATCCGCCCTCGGCCTCCCGTTCCCCGCTCCGCGCAACCGCTGCATTAGCGACGCCGCTGGAGGAACTTCTTAAGTGCACACTATCCCTCTTCCGCTCCCCTTTCCGCTCCCCCTCCCGCAACCCATTCCGCTCCCCCTCTCGCAACCCCTTCCGCGCCCCATTTTGCTTCTTCCGCAGCTTTATAGCTACGTTAGCGCCTAAATTCACCACATCCGCGATTCGCGCGTCTCGCGCGGATCGAAGCGCGCCGATGGAGCGCGACAAGGCGACTATACTCCATATTGAGTGCGCGGCGCCGCTAGCAAGGAGCAGCAGGAGCCCCTTAGGCTCGTGGAATAAGAGGCACCCGAGCCGCTCACCGTGCTGGACTAATAGTTGACGGATAACCGTTCCCCATGGGCCGTCGCCGTCAAGATGGCCGTCGCTCATCGTTTCGATTCGGTTTGGCTCGTTTCAGAACGGTTTAATTGACATCGGTGCGCCCTAAAACGAGAAATTTTCCTCGTTGCGCTAACACCTGACGGAGCTCAGTTTCGCGTCGCCAGCCCGCTATGGCCGCAACTAACCTTCCAACGATTCGTCGAATAGTTTCGGTAACAATCGGCTCTATTCCTGCAGCGCAGAAATGCTGTAACTTGACAGATGCGCATCGATTCCGCACACTTCACAGAGTAAGAATCACAGCTGTGGGCGGAATGGCGGGCACTGTTGGCACCATGAAATCAATGAACAATCTGAAACGATGGCGCACTTTTGTGCGAATGAACTACACCTTACCCTCGCCAATTTCAACACCTGGGCCCGGATCGCGTCCTTGTCGTTTTGCCCTGGGGTTGAAATTGGTGGGAACAGAGAAGTTCCCACCAATTTCAACACTCTGACGGAACATTTAATGGTTTCGAACTATTCTGACCCATGTTAGAGCGGCTTTACTCGGTTCTGGGTGGTGGGGTGATGTTGCCTGGACCGAACCGCGCTCGCCCAGGACCACAGGTGGCGACAAAGGGGTTGAAATTGGCAGGGATTGAAGTAGGCGAGGGACAGGTGTATAGCCAATCGGTTGGCTTGAGTGTTGAGAAAGAAAGTGGGGAAAGAGAAGACGACGAAACGGGATCTAACGGCTATGATTGAGGGAAACTGAAGGCGGTGGTTTTGCTGGCTGGTAGCAAGGTGATACATGTGCGCCCTGTCAGTTTGACGGCAGGGATCTTCCCATCGTTTGATCCGGGTAACAGATGGCTTGGGCAAGTGAGTCAACCGACGACATGAGTGACGTGTAGGACACGTAATGACGTACCACCGTGTTTGCAAGGGTACGAGTACACGCCATCACAATGAGAAGGGAAAATCTTCCATAAGTAACCAAATTGGGACTCGATAACGTGAATGGTAAAAAAAAAAACGCGTACGGTCACTGTATCGGGTTTCCTGACGGGTTTGGTAAGTGGGGTCACGGATTCAGTCACTAACAACAGGTAAAAAATCATGAGAATGGTCAGACATGTAACTCCCGCCAAAAAAACTTAAAAACTCGAATGGTCAGACAAAATTCCGCCCAACCAATCTGCTAACTTCTAAAAAAACTAAAACCCAATCGGAATCGGATGCGGTTTGGGAACGGATCAACCCTAACTAAACACCTGGCGAGTTACGTGTTTAGGGTTGATTCATCCGAAAATGCATCCAGGTTCTTTTGGGGGTTTCATTTTGTTTTGGCGGGAGTTTCATCTATGACCATTTGCGTTTTTTTTTTACCACTTGATAGTGACTGATGATGTGAAACGTTCTATCAGTCGCATGACAACACCCTTTGCAGTGACCGTACCCTTCATTTTTTAACTAAAAATGTTATCAAGTCCCATGATGGTTACGAATGGCATATTTTTCCCGATGAGAAGGACAAAGTTTGTGATACAGATTCATATCACATTGATAGCCCTACCAAACAAAACTTGGCACCCATCATTCCACCAAACCCTACACATGTCATTTTCTAGACAGTTAATACTAACTTCAGGCATCATACACACGATAGGCAGCCAGAACCTGTTCGCGGCAAATGGGGCACGGCGAATGTTCCACCCAAACCACCCGCGAACACGACAAGCAACACGCGCGGTGGCCACACGGGATGAACACGGCCTTGCGCTTGCGATGCAGACACACCACACAGAGCTCCCCGCTCTGCGCCTCCTCTTCTCCCCCCACCTCCTCCTCATCCGCATCCCCACCGCGAATCAGATTCTCCAAGCTCCTCTCTAACTCCAAGGTTGAAGCTGCTAGTGCCCTGACATGTGAGGCATGGATCATGCCACCTTGGGCCCGCAACCATCGCCATCCAGTACTTACCACTCCTGCTCCTGTTGCTGCTGCTGCGTCTGCTCCTTCTCCTGCTCCTGCTCCTGCCGCCACTCCTGCTCCTGCTGTTGCTCCTGCTCCTGTTACTGCTGCTGCTCCTGCTCCGGCTGCTGCTCCTGCTGCTGCTCCTGCCTCTACTCCTATTACTGCTGCTGCTCCTGCTCCTGTTACTGCCCCAGCCGCTCGTGCCTGCTGCTGCAATTCCAGAATATTTATCATCCTGCTTTCCAACTCTGCCTGCTCCGCATCCTGCTGCTGTTGCTGCAGCCTAGATTGCTGGCGACGATTTTCCCTGGTAGGGCAAGGGGGAGGAGATGGGGGTAATGGATGAAAAGTAATAAGAGAAAATGACATCAGGTGAGGGTATGGGAGAGAGGATGAGAGGAGAGGAGAGGAGATGAAAGGAGATGAGAGGGGAGGAAAGGAGAGGGAGGAGCGGAGAGGTGAGGAGAGGCGAGGAGAGGAGAGGAGAGGAGAGCAGGTGTCTTCACCGTGTAAGCACCCACGTGTACGTGCATCCACAACCCCAATCATTAGACATTGCATACAACCACCCTCCTACGATCCCTCCTCTCATCTGCCTTCCCACTCATCCACTTAGCCGCCCATCCCCCCATTTCCACATCCACCCATCCACCCATCCACCCATCCACCCATCCACACATCTCATCACCAACATGCACGCACCACCACAGAGCAAAGCCAACGAGGCCCACAGCAGCAGCAGAGAGCAGCAGGCACCATCCCAGCAGCACCCCCCACTCGCGATTCAGCCTCTGCAGCATGCCCACCTTGGTGCCAGAGAACCTGTGGGGAGGTCGAAGAAAGAGGGAGACGGGGAGTGCGGTTAGGGTAATAACAGAGAACCTGGGGGATGAGGGAGAAAGGGGGAGGGGTGTGATTCGGTTTAGGTAGTAGAATCAACAGCACGGATGGTAATTCCGCAAGCATGGCTGTCTTGGTGCCAGAGAAGCTGGGGGGTTGGGAGGAGGGGGGAAATTGAGGCTAGGGTGGTATCATCAACAGCACTGATGGCTATACCGGCCAGGAAAGACAAAGCAACAGACCCGATAGGGGCGGGAAGAGGAGAATGGAAAGAACGAAAAGAGAGAAGACATGGCCAGTGGCATGACGGAAGCAAGGAGGATGCATTGAAGCCACCAGAAGCAAGCCTATATGCAGCTACAGGTGAAATAGGCAAGGGAGGTTACGTTGCATCTTTAGACTGACTTTGCATCTAAAGATCCTACGTCGCATCTTTGCTGGTTCAGCTCCGTGCAGAATCAGCCCAGAGCATCCTACTTGGGTGGATGGGTGGATGGGTGGATGGGTGGATGTGGAAATGCGCAAAGTCAGCGCAGAGGATCTTGGGGAAGGAAAGAAGCAGGGTGAGAGATGGTAACATGCATGTACATGCTGCTGAAGGGAGGAAGTGCGGTTGGAGGGGTTACATAGAGAAAGTAGGGAGATTTTGAAGAGAATGTATTTACTCCACTCAAAAGTGACCACGTTACTCACAGGAAGTCAGGGGTTTTTGAAGGGTCCCATGGTCAAGGGAAGCACTCACAGGAAATAGGGGAGTTTGGGGGAAGCAAAGATGGCAGGTCGACCGTCGGATCCGAATCTCACGTGGCCGACAGCTGTCACCTCGTGATTGATCAGCAGCACCCTTTCATCGGTGCGCAGGCCCGGCTGGTGGGAGGGGGTGATGAGTGGTGGGAGGGGGTCATGAGTGGTGTGTGAAGAAAGGAGATGGCCACAAAACCCTGTTGCGTGCACAGCACAAGCCCACCTGGGGAAGGCATATGTGTGGAATAGGTACTCATTAATTCACTAATTAATTCACAAGTTAACGAACCTTCACTGATTGAGCTAACCACACAACAGCCGTCTTCTCGAGCTGAACGAGTCCTGGGTCCTGGTCCAGAGTTGAATTGAACAGAACAGAGCATAACTTTCACGAGAGCATCTAGATGGTTTTGCCTTGTGGATGTGACTATACACCGTGTGCAGCGGCAGGGGCTGTGAGGCGCCCGCCAGTGAGATGTCGACACGTGGCGATGATGGGTGGGAGGCATCTGCTAAGGAGAAAGGGATCTGAGGAGCGGTGAGGGGGGAGAGGACAAGGAGAGGGAGAGGAAGGAGAGGGGGAGAAAGAGGGAACGGCAGGGGGGCTGAGAGGAGGGGATAGGAAAAGAGGAATGAGGCGGAGGTAGGGTAAAGGGGTAATAAAAAAACAAAAAAGACTTAAACAAACAACAACCACCAGCCAGCGGGGACGAACAAGAGCTGTTGCAGAGTGCAGCAGAGGCGAATCCGTTTCCTCATGCTGAATGGAAATCTGTAACTCACGAATTCGAGACGTCTCAAAATGCTGAATGGAAATCTGTAACTCACGAATTTGAGACGTCTCAAAATGCTGAATGGAAATCTGTAACTCACGAATTTGAGACGTCTCAAAATGCTGAATGGAAATCTGTAACTCACGAATTTGAGACGTCTCAAAATGCTGAATGGAAATCTGTAACTCACGAATTTGAGACGTCTCAAAATGCTGAATGGAAATCTGTAACTCACGAATTTGAGACGTCTCAAAATGCTGAATGGAAATCTGTAACTCACGAATTTCCGGAACAGGATGCTGTACTGATCTGGCCCGGTGAGCCAGCCGTTCAGGAGTTTTGTATCCAGAACCTGTGCCAAGGGGGTGAATCGTGAAGGGGCAGCATGGAGTGGAATGGCATGGGGTGAAGGGAGGGGGGGGAAGCATGGGGCAAGGGAGTAAGCATGGGAGGCGGCAAGGGAGGGGTAAATGGGGCAAGTGAGAGGGAAACAGAAGGGGGCATGGTCAAGGCTAAGGGGTTGTAGACTTCTACAAGCATATGTCCCGCACTCCATCCCACACTCACCGTCTCCATCCTATCCACGATGGCACATGGCTGCTTCACGCCGTGTTCTGGCAGCAACGGGAGAGGGTCGAGCATCCACCCAAGCCCGAACCGCTGCAGGATTGGAACATGGAAGCCAAGTTTCCTCCAGCCAAGCTGCTCGGACCTGGATGCCTGCACGAGCCCTCTCACCACCACCAACTCGTGCGGCACCTTGACGAATGAGCTTGGGAGGTTCTCAGGTGACGCTATACCACTGCTGCTACTTGCGTGAAGCAGCCACTTTAATCCAGCACTGCTGCTGTTGCTGCCGTTGCTGCTGCCGCCGCAGCCGCTGCTGCTGGTGCTGCCGTTGCTGCTGCTGCCGCTGCTGCTGCTGCTCCCCGCGTGCAGCAGCCAACCCAATCCGGCACCGCTGCTGCCACCTCTGCTGCTGGAACCACCACCACCACCGCCGACGCTGCCGCTGCTGCTGGTGCCTCTGGCGGGGTCAGAAGGCTGCTTCACACAACTCAGCTCCGCGATTAACGTTTCGCGCGCGGATCTGAGCGCGGAGAGCGAGCGAGACAATTCGATCAGCTGCCACCATGCGACCGCGGCGCTCCAAACGGCCACCGCGGCGTTACCCACGGCCAACGCGCCGACGACCGTCTCCTTCTGCGCGCGTCGGCGAACCGTGCGCGAATCGCCAACGATTGCCTCTTGCTGCGCGAGAATCGCGCTAGGAGCAGCACTACCGCCTGACGCGCCGGTCACCGCGGGGTTACCCACGGCCAACGCGCCGACGACCGCCTCCCTGTGTGCGACAGTCGCGCGAGATCCAACGACGATCGTTCCCTGTTGCGCGAGAATCGGCCGAGCAGGTTGCGGCGGTGGCGCGCTAGAAGAAGCTGCAATACCGCCGGACGCGCCGGAATTCCCGCCTCCGGATGAAGGCATTGGCGCGGAACGACGACGGGACAGGAATCAATAGTGTCGAATCATAGTCTTGTAACAGGAGTTACGATGGCTTCGCTACCGCTCACGGAATTGACGAGGGACGACACGCGACGGGAGCTTCGACTCTTCTTCGAGTGAGAGGCATTTTGAGTCCTCTGTGAGGTCCGTATGAGACAGGAATGTGTGAGGAGGATCCGATTTGGATTCCTCACTGTGAGGACTCGTGTGGCTTGCCTCGTCGACAAGGCCTGAAAATCTGAGAAGAATCCGGAGTGGATTTCCAAACGGTGTTGACGCTGAGTCACTCGAAGAATCGACCACCGTGGATGAGACGGGAGATCTGGGTACGACGAAAGAGCAGACGCTCTGATGGTGATGACGTGAACATGGCCAGTCGCCTCGGCCGGGATTGCCGAGCGGTGGCAAAGCGGCGAGCCGCGCCGTGCGATGACGACAGCCATGGAATATGGGCCCGTCATTGTCGGCGCCGCGACTGAGTCGCGGATTCGGGTGTCGCAAGCGCGGCGCTATTATGACGGCCGCGTGAGGGAATGGCCTGTTCGCCTTGAAGGCACAAAGCGACTCGAGCCACCGAAAAGTACCAGGACGGACGTCTTGGCCGTAAGAGGGTGCAAGTGCGAGGTAGCAATTCACGTAACGAAATAGCGATGTACCTGTTCAGTGGGGTGAATGTGGCTGCGAGCAATGATGTAGCATGGAAGTAGGATGGGGATGGGACAGGGACATGGTTTTGGGGTTGGAAGTGAGATACGTACGCGGTATCATCACTCTTGCTGGACGGTTACGACCGCGGTGTTTTTGCATTGTATGTGTATAGTGCATATTTCACCTACCGAAAAAAATCACTCTTGCTGGAATGACACATACTAGTGAAAAAAGATACGGTATTCATAAACATTTGAAAATCAAAATGGGTGGTAAACTAATCAGATATCGTTTCCAGAACTAAAATATATGGTTTAGCAACGCAACCTAATAGGTACAGGAAATGGGCGTCATAGACATTATTGATGCATCCTCTGTGAGGCCAGCTCGTAGGAATGTATCCTAATGCCAAACAGTATCGTACATGCTGAGAGCATTTCCAGTTTCGCCTCCTCATAGCCACGCCACAACCTTCCCAACATTCCAAGAGCAGTTACAATGTTGTCTCTACGACACTAAACAGCAGTTGCTAGCGCCTTCTTCCACGTAAGGACGCGCCCCACGCTCCCACTCTCTCCTAGCTCCATCTGCCACGCCTCCGCCGCTGCTGCATCCATTCGCGTCCCATACATACAGCCACGCCTCCTTTTGTGAGCCTGAGTGCGCCTTCACAGAGTTTCCTAGCGCCTTTTCCCAAGCAAGGACGCGCACCACGCTCCCACTCTCTCCCAGATCCGCATGCCGCGTCGCCACTGCCGCTGCCGCCTGATATTGAGAGGGGTGGGGCGGGGGACATGAGAGGACAGAGTCGATTCTGAACAACCTCAGCTCCTAGCACGGTCAACCAGCACGTGCTCTTCCCCTGCCGGTTCCTTCACTTTCAATTTGTAATCACCAAGTTCCTGCTGCTTCCACATTACCACGACTAGCATAATCTTCCAAGGGAGGATGAACCTCACACTCTCAGTTGATCTAGCTCTATGGAGCCCCTTTACACCCACACTTGCCCATCCACCCATCCACCCATCCACCCATCCACCCATCCACCCATCCACCCATCCACCCATCCACCCATCCACCCATCCACCCATCCACCCATCCACCCATCCACCTCCCATCCACCCATCCACCCATCCACCCATCCACCCATCCACCCATCCACCCATCCACCCATCCACCCATCCACCCATCCACCCATCCACCCATCCACCCATCCACCCATCCACCCATCCACCCATCCACCCATCCACCCATCCACCCATCCACCCATCCACCCATCCACCCATCCACCCATCCACCCATCCACCCATCCACCCATCCACCCATCCACCCATCCACCCATCCACCCATCCACCCATCCACCCATCCACCCATCCACCCATCCACCCATCCACCCATCCACCCATCCACCCATCCACCCATCCACCCATCCACCCATCCACCCATCCACCCATCCACCCATCCACCCATGCAACCATTCCCTCCTCTGCATTCACCCATCCATCCACCCATATATCCACGAAACCAGGCACCCATCCATTCACGCATGCACCCATACATGCACCCATCCATTCAACCATTCACCCATCCATCCACCCATCCACCCATTCACCCATCCATCCACCCATTCACCCGTCACCCATCCACACAAATGCGCCCATGCACGCACCTCCATACGGCAAAGCCAACGATGCCAGCAGCAAAAGCAGACAGCAGCAAGCGACATCCCAGCAGCACCCCGCATTGGCGATCCAACTTCTGAAGCATTCCCGCCTTGCTGTCAGAGAAGCTGGAAGGAGGACGAGGGAGGAGTTGGGGAGAGAGAGACGTAGGGGCTGGAATGTTTGAAATCAGCTGCTAATCTACCCAATGCTCATTCAGCTTTTAGAGCAGAGAAGCCTTGGTGTAAGAGAACCTGGAGGACGCGCAGAGCAGTGGAAAACGGGGGGTCTGGAGAAACTGGGGGATAGGCGGGGAAATGGGAAGTTAAGGTGGTTGAATGCAGACCAGTGCTTTCCGTGTGAAGAAATTCAGCTTGTGAAGCATACCCACAGGGAGAAAGGTAGAACGACTGGAGGGCGGGACTGAGGGTATGAGGGAGGGAAGAGAAGGAAGGGAAGGGAAGGGAAGGGAAGGGAAGGGAAGGGAAGGGAAGGGAAGGGAAGGGGGGAAGGAAAGAAGACACAATCCCTTCAAGCTTCCGCAATAAAGGCTCTATGCAGTAGGTGAAATAAGGAAATGTGGCAGGAGGGGGTTTACACAAAGGAAATATTGAGGAAGAATTCGCAAGAACAATTTCGAGTCAACTCAAAAGCAACCTCATTACGTACAGGAAGAAGGGAGGGTTAAAAGGGACCTATACGATAGGAAGCACTCACAGGAAGAAGGGGAGTTTGGGAGAAGCGAAGATGGCAGGGCGACCGTCAGATCCGAATTTCACGTGGCCGACAGCTGTCAGCACGTGATTGATTGGCAGCGCCCTCTCCTCCGTACGCAGGCCCGCCTGAGGAAGGTGTATGCATGGAGTGGTACTCATTCATTCATTCATTCATTCATTCATTCATTCATTCATTCATTCATTCATTCATTCATTCATTCATTCATTCATTCATTCATTCATTCATTCATCCATCCATTCATTCATTCATTCATTCATTCATTCATTCATTCATTCATTCATTCATTCACTCACTCACGAGATTATACATGGGCAGAGCAGCACCTTCTTGTCTGTGCGCAGGCAGGCAGAGCCAATCTGGTGAGAGAAATCAAGAATGGCGTTTGCAAATGAGCATGCAAGGTGGGCCTTGAGAAGCAGATAGCAAAGCACATTCACAACTTTCACTGGTTAAGCCAAGCATGCAACAGTGGCCCTTGCTGACCAAGCCAGAGTGACTTAGTCTAAACAATAAGCCATGCACGAAACAACTCACCTCTTCACGTGCCCAACAAGACCCGGTGTACAGGACAATTCTCAAAATAGCATTCAAAGACTTGTGCACAAAAATGCTATGAAAGGCGTGGGCAACAGAGGGCGGACAAGGGCGGGTGGAAGAGGCTGGGTGGCAAAGAACCTATACTCACCGACCAGTGCTTCCCTATAAGAGGCCTATGTATAGTGAGTAAAGAAAGAGTGCAAGCGCTTTTCCATAAGCATGTGCAAGACTTATAAAGAGTACACTCACCGGCAAGCGCTTCCCTATAAGCACGTACAGGGCGACGTCAACCCATGAAATCTCGGGCTTGTGTATGTGATTGTACACGGTGTTCAGAGGCAAGCGCTGTGTGGCGCCGACCAATGAGATGTCGACACGTGGCGTTAACGGGTGGGTGGTGTCTGCTAGAGTAAAAGGGATCTGTGGAGATGCAAGGGAGGGGAGGAGAAGAAAGTGAGTGAAAACGGAGTGGCAGACTGAATGGAGGGGCTGGGTGGGAGCAGAGTAACATAGGAGCACAGAAAGTTATCAAACCAACATTTTTTTTTCTCTCTCAATGCGAATGTGAACGGAAAAACTCCATCCCACATTCCGAACATTCCGAAATCCACGAATTTATGGAACACCATACATTAAATCCGCCACTCTTTTCAATTTGCCACTCAGTTTTCTCTCACTTTCTTCCCCTCCTCTCCCTCGCATCTCATCAATATGGAGGGGCTGGGTGGGAGCAGAGTAACATAGGAGCACAGAAAGTTATCAAACCAACATTTTTTTCTCTCTCTCAATGCGAATGTGAACGGAAAAACTCCATCCCACATTCCGAACATTCCGAAATCCACGAATTTCTGGAACACCATACATTCAATCCGCCACTCTTTTCAATTTGCCACTCAGTTTTCTCTCACTTTCTTCCCCTCCTCTCCCTTGCATCTCACCAGGTCACTTTCTCTCTAGCAGACACCACCCACCCATCAGCGCCACGTGTCGACATCTCATTGGTCGGCGCCACACAGCCCGGCGACGTCCAACGCGCTCAAGATAACTTCCAGCTGCGCGCGAGCTAGCGGCGGCGGTGACGGTGACGGCAGTGAGCTACTAGAAGCTCGGCGCGCCATGCCGGAATCCACGGGCATCGATGGAAAGGAGCGTAGGCTTGTCGTTTTGTAGTAAGCGGTGACTTAAGCAACGCTTACATTATTGGTGAGCGACGACGATAGGACAAGCGTTTCAATTCTCGGTGAGATTCTTGAGCCGCCTGTGCATGCGACTCTTGAATGAGTGCATCAGTGAGATGACTCCTTCAACACGCGGTTGAGTGTAAGAGCAGTCACGGACTTTGAAAGACCGACAATCAAGTCAACTATGGCCCAATCCTTGTACATCGCATCGCCTGTG